GGGGGGGGGGGAATCCAGACACGGACATGTTTCCTGAAAGGAAGAGAAATCCTCATCTCTCTCAACACCGCGAAGAAGAAAGAAGCAAGGAAGCTCAGATCCTTAATGTATATTGTTAGTCTAATCATATCAAATGTGTAGAGTTGTACCTTGCTAAAGATCGATGACCCTTCTCATTTGCGACTTCTTAATTGTTTGATTTTATGAAAAGTATCATCCTCGTCTTATATGATGGGATTTAATCACTATTATAGTTGAATCTTATGCGTGATATGCTTGCTCACTCTCATCTTCTATCTTAGATCTAGATTAAATTATTGTTGATTAAGATTTACCTAAAGTCTTCTTATTTAATTAGTTTAGCAAAAAGCTCAACACTTTTTTGTCAAACAAAATGTAAAATGAATATAAGTTGGTGAGTACATAAAATTAAGCTTTGTATAAACGCATCATGTCATTACTTAGTTTTATAAAATAATAATGGGTACGAGGCCAAGGACTAGAGTGATTTGTGTTCTTTTTTCAATGACTTGTATTCTTCTTTTCGCGATTTTTCTTCTGCTTATTATAAAATAATAATGGGTGTTAGATTAAGGACGAGAGTGAAGCTATGAAAAAAAGCTGTAGAAATAGAGAGATGCAGATGCATTTTAGCGTTTGATTTTATTTAGCGGGTGACTTTTTTTTAGCTAGTCAGGTTGAGCGTATAGGTGGATTTTTTATGTTTTGTTTGGGTGTTAATTATTTTATTCGGTCCCAAAATATAAAATATCTATATGGACTGCCACGTCATATTTTTCCGCCGGAAAGTTTGCTTAATTTCAGTTGAATAATCATTTGTGTGCATTAAGAATAGTTGAGTAACTTTCATGTTGCCACTAAAAGAAAAGTGACTTTCGCCTAGTGGTGACAAAATAGTTAAAAGAAAATAGTTAATCACCCATATTATCCATTAAAAAATGGGTTGGATGATGAACTTTTTAAAAACGGGTCAAATATGGATAAGAACCATATTATCCATTTAGAAATGGATAATCTATGGCTAACCAATGAGTTTAACTTTTTACATTTATAAAGCCTCCAATTGAGAGTATCTCAAGTTTGGGAGACTAGGAATTCTCCTAGAAGTGAAGTCATGGATAATATGGTTACCCATATTATCCGCTGGTTAACCTGTTTTTTATTCGTATTAAATATGGGTCGGGTCGGATAATTTATTCGTTTTCCATTACCCTTTTTTGCCTGAACCATATCTGACCCGACTCGTCCGTTTGCCACTATCCATAATTTTGGATAGTTGAGTGATTATTTGAGTAATGAACTCTATATAAATAGCACCCTATTGAGCTTCATTTCCTCGTGCACATTTTCATCGGAAATATAAGAAGAAAAAGAAAAACTAAAGGCAGAAGGAGATAATGGCAAGTGGAGAGACTGAGCTTTACTTTGTTTTCATGAACTATGATCCTGAATACGAACGCCTTCTATCCAAAAGGTCAGTATTCTTCTTCTTCTTCTTTTTCAAAGAAGTCAAAACCTTGAACCCTGTTAGGTTTAAATCTTCGATTCGTCTCTAAATTTAATAATAATCAGAAGTTATATTCTTGGTTTTATATAATGATAGAACAAAGAAGGGAAGCTATGAGCTGGATCTGTACATAAGCAAGAAACATGATGAGTTGTTAGCAAATACCTTTGAGCCAGGCAGCTATAAAAAGAGATTGTCTTTGGTTATTGTTGATGGCTTTGCTGTTGAAATCACTGATGATCAGGTTGGTTTAATTTATAGGTTTCTTCCTCTTCTTTCCTCAAAATTTTTATATATTCTGAGGTATGTTGTTCAGACTCTTCAAAAATATCATTATAGGTGCGTGTAAGATCCTCCAAAAAGTAGTGTATTTCTAGAGTTGTAAG